TAAAGATAAGTAAGGAAATAGAATGATTCCCAAACAATCTTTCAGACTTTTAGGTCAGTGAGATATTGGCAACAAAGGATGAGAAGGAAAATGTCTTCCTTGTGATTGTAAGACATATATATATATATATAATCAAGAGTTAATCATGTGCCCACTCAGTTTCAGGACGACATAAAACACAAGATGATCTGGGTTATACTGCTAACAACTGTGCTCAAATATTGTGTTGGATCAGATAAAATGCCCAGAAAGAAACTCAATGTCAAGTTAAAGGAGGCCCTCCCAATTGTTACCTTCCTCCAGGATAGTGTATCATTGGTTTCTGTACCATCTCCTGAGGCCAAGTCTCAACTCCCTACATCTAGACAGTTGGAATTATACAAGGACAATGTATAACCACATGAACAGAGGTGACATTCAGCACTGTTCGTGGAAGGATCTATGAATGAATTGTATCGTGAGAGTTCAGAACATTGATGAACATTTATGGATATTGCTTGAATGCATGAGTAATTTGGCCACCCAGTAAGATCCAGGAATAAGTATTGGCTTCTTCCTTGAATCCTATTAGGTTTCCAAATTACTCTTAGGCTGTATTCCTAAGCCTTTCCAACTCTATAACGCAACTTGCAGCTTTCTTTCTCTATAGGCTCATTGACTCCTCTAAAGATATTAGAGCACTCAGCTGAAACTGAAGATCAGAAATTAATCTAGGATTAATTCAGAGTCAAATGAAAACAAAAGTCAAAAACCTGGATAGCCAATTCAAATGTTTTTGGGAGCCAATGACCACCTCAATGCCATCGAGTTGCACTGTAGAATTTTTGGTTTCTAACTTGGTTCATTTCTTCACTAAAATAATTATGAGCCAGACAGTGTCCTTAACATTGGCTCTAGAGCAAGGGCAAACTATCCAGTGCTCTGTACTGATGTTCATTCATTCAAATAGTAGTTACTAATTGAAGGACTATTATGTTATCAGGACTGTCTTTCATATCTGTCTTACTATTTCACTGAAGTAAGAAGCAATGTGATCAACTAGATAAAAGATGGATTGGGAAGTATTGTGGGAAAAAAATTCCCCTACCCACATGGGAATGCATCTTTAAATAATACCATGAAAAACTCCTATAACTGGGGGTTTCTCTCCCACCTGCCCATTCCCAAATAACTACTCAGAGGCTTAGTATTAATTATAAAAGTTTGGCTGATGGCTCAGGATTATTACCAGCTAGCTCTTACATTTAAATTAACCCATTTCTGTTATTCTATATTTTCCCACAAAACTTGTGGCTTGGTACCTCACATCTTGCTTCTCTGGCAGCTGCTGGCATCTCCCGGATTCTACCTTCTTTCTCCCTGTATGCAGTTTGACTTTCCCACCTGGCTATATTCTTCCCTTCCAGAGGTCAAAGCAGCTTTATTCATCAACCAATAAAAGCAACACTTATTCGCAGCATACAGAATAACTCAAGCTCCTAAACTGAAATTTTAGGAATAGACCCAATTTTAGATGAAAAAGACCAGAAAACATTTTTATACACACAGCATATGCAAAGCCATTTGAATACCACACCATGTACAAACGAAGGGACATGGTTTGGCAGGTGTCCATGACGAGAACTTCAAGTTTTTTCTCTAAGGGCTGTTGAGATCTGAATCAGGCAGATATCTCTTTGTTCCTGGAAGTCATTTAAATTTAGGTCACTGCGTTAGGAGTAAAATGCCATAGCACAGAACACGTCCAGGATGACGCGTCAGCCAGCTGACGCACTGGTGAAGGGAGGCAAGTGTGACTCTAGATCGGTCTCATTCTTCCTACGGAACTCCAGTCATTTCCTTCCACCTAACTGCTTACCATCCTGGGACTCTGGAATTCTCAAGACATCTCCAGCCTTCCCTCAGCCTACAGTTTCCACAACAGGAAAGCACACTTAGGATGTCCTTGCTTTCCCAACAAGATTTCCTCCTCACCTGGACAAGAGAATGCCACAGTGCCACATATAAACAACCAAGGCAAACAAACAAACAAAAAAACCAAACGCATAGCTGTGTTAAATATTTTTAAACTGAAATGTTTTCAAGCATTATCTGTGCTCTTCTGGCAGACCTGTTCACCTCCCAGCTTTTGACAATATTGCCTGGCATTTTATAACTGTTCTTTGTTTGCCAGGCGGTGCTGTGCAGAGAAAATGTCAGGAGTAGAAAGGCATGAGAGCCCCACCCATGGAGCCTACTTAACCAAACAAGGCACACAGGGAACCAGCCTGCCAGGTGCAGCAGAGAGGCCACGCCTGGTCTCTCTGGAAACTTACCTGGGAACTCACCTTGGAAGCCATTGAGATTGTTCCTTCCTAGAGAATTGAATTGTGTGTATGTGTATTTTTAACTTTTTCTTCTAACCTGGTTATTATTTTAATTTACTAAGACAATAAATTATTTAATGGCATTATTTTGTCACATCTCATTAATACATGTATATCTTAAATATCTTCTTTATATGTATATAGCTTATCTTAATGGAATTTAGCCTATTTTGTCCTTGCTTATTAAATTTTACATTTTGATCATATTAAAAGGCCTGTGGTTTATCTAAGTTTCTAGACTTGAGTATTTTACTACTTTTGTAACAGACATATTTGTTTCTGTCTACTCTTTTCTGTAGCCAGTTGCTGTAAGCTTCCAACTTTATATCAGCAGTTAACTACCTTTAAAACTCACTATGTAGCCCAGGCTAGCCTCCAGCTCATATCAATCCTCTTGTACAGGCTCCTGAGTTCTGGGGCCACAGGTCTGTGTGCCACCAAGACCAACTTCCATACGGCGTTAACAAATACTCTCCAACCTTCTCTAGCTTCCATATCCTCAGCTAAAAACATTAACCCTGGGGCTAGAGAGATGACTCTGTGGTTTAAAGCACTGGCTGCTGTTGCAGAAGACTTGAGTTTGATTCCCAGTACCCCCCATGATACCTCGCAATCATCATCTATTCCACATTCCCAGGAGGATGGTGTCTTCTAACCTTCTCAGGCACCAGACTCACATGTAATACACATGCATCCATCCAGGCAAAGCATTCATACACATTAAAGTAAATGAATTTTTTAAAGTTTATTAAAAACAACCCATTATCCCAGAAAGTTCTGAAGCCACCATTCCTTCCTTGGACAATAGTTTCCTATGCTGCCAAGGGTAGGTAAACACAATTACCCCAGTCCAAGGAGCCTGCTTAGGCAAGTAAACCAATCTTTGGAACAGTAGCTACAATTGTGTTCGTCTCTTCTGCTGTGATCCATCATATTCTTCTGTTGACATTTCTGTCATCTGAAGTCCACAGTATAAAACCAATGTGTAGGAACCATGCCTGCAAGGATCTCTGAGGGAGGGAAGAGGTTTCTCTCATACTGTTCCCAAGTTTATTTCAGCAAAGGAACTTTTCAAACATTATAGTAACTCTCTTAAAAAGGAGCCACGTTGAAGACGCACCACGAACCTCAGCATGTAAACACTCCCCCACTCATTCGTAACTAATGTGATTAATCTATTCTCCATATTAGGCATGCAAGTTCCACTCTTGAGTGGGTCTTCCACCTCCTTCACTTTGGATTAATGGTCAAAGAGAAGGGAGCTATGACAAGAACCATCTCTAATAAGGATGGAAGTAGATAGATAGACAGATAATAGGTAGAAGACAAATGAATACATAGATAGATGTGAGGGTAACAGATAATAGGTAGGTAGGTAGGTAGCTAGCTATATAAACAGACAGAAAGGAAAAGGGCAATGATAAACTTAGGATCATTTCATCAAGCAGGGATTTCCCCTAGCATGCTTGTAATCAGATAACATCTTACAACCACATTATCTTTAGGTGTGCTTCAAGATGTTGTTTTACTTACAAATCCAATTATAATCATCACCAATGATTGAAGCCTATTAAATTTTCTTAAGGACAAAGATGACAGAGAGCGAGTTAGCTCGTCTAGTCTAAAACCTGTTAGACGGACTGTCACTCAACTCCCAAGATCATAAAGTAACAACTTGCTTGTGTGTGCCTGACTCTTCTCTTGGATGAGATGAACACGATGTGCTTAGTGTTTATTCTCCTACCAGGATGCATGCTGATTGTTCAGGTGTCTTATCTCTAGCAACTGTGATCTTCATCTGTGAAAATTACAGTCAAGACGAGCAGCGGCCTTGCCAAAGCGTTTCCGCCAACAGGTTGGGCCAACAGGATCATTTCCACTTGGCATGGCTGCTTCTCCACAGAAAGCTATTTTCGCTAAATGGGGAAAAAAAATCTCCTATCTAACTGGTAAATTTCACGAGATATTGTTGAATAGAAGACTCTGGAATTAGTCTAATATATATTTCCTTTCTTTCACAGATTTTCTGGTAGTTGCCTCTTCCTTTCTGATTGCTATTCTTGGAATGCACACTTTAAATCACATTGAAAATGACCAGTTTGATGGTTTGTAGTATACAAAATCATTCTCAGATGAGTAGGGCAAGGGAAAATATTAAATGTTAAAAGGAAAGTATAAAGTACTAAGACCGGGCAGTGGTGGCACACGCCTTTAATCCCAGCACTCGGGAGGCAGAGGCAGGCGGATCTCTGTGAGTTCGAGACCAGCCTGGTCTACAGAGCTAGTTCCAGGACAGGCTCCAAAGCCACAGAAAAAAAGCCACTCAAAAAAAAAAAACAAAAACAAAAAAAAAAGTACTAAGACTAATGAACAAACAGCTCAAAAAAAAGCAAGCATAAATGGTCAAAAACCGAGTAAAAAATGTTTAAATTCACTCAGGGTTGGGTAAATTTATGGTAAGAATAATCTTAAGGTGTTCTTTAAACCAGTCAACTGTAAAGCCTGAGGTGATTATAACCCTTGCATTTGGTGAGAGATGTAAAGAAATTACCAAAATGTGTGAAAAGTGAAATCAAGCTATGTTACAGCCTTTATGGACAGCAAACTCATACATTCATTCACTCATCTCTCAAGGCCTCATCTCAGCCCCAGGAGCCAGCCTTTGGAAACAAAGCGCCAAGACTTCAGGACACATGTAAAACCCAAGAACTGAAATGGAACAGAAGTCAGTCAATGGGAGAGATGGCTGAGTATATGCTGGTCCACCCACAGAATTCCAGAAGGAACCTGGGAAAGAGTGATGGAAGGCGGCCCACAGGAGACCCGTGAGCTAGCTTCCTCAGAGGGCAAGGCAACTGCAGAACAAAGGTATTTGAATCTATTTGTAGAAGGAAATGCAGGCACGACCTGGGGGCCAGCCGATTGGCACACTGCTTCTAAACAAGAATCATGGCACACCATGCTCCTGAGTATTCCCGGGATTCTGAAGTAGCATGAGTAGGCAGGCTGTAGCTGGCCTGCGGATGTGTCCGTACTCTTCATGACTCCTTTAATGTGCCTCTTCCTCATAAAGAACCTGGTGGTGTGAGCAGTCACTGTCCAGTCTGAGATAATGTGCTACTCAATCAGTTGATGGGCTTCCACTAGATAAGTAGTTGCTCATATGCTATAAAGCAGACACTGGTCTCTGAAACCATCTTCAGAGTGGTTCATCTCTGCACCCTTTACCAACCAATGGGCACTGAAGTCTTATTGGAGGATGCCAGTAACCAATGCATCCATTCCCATTTTTAAGGAATTATTTTCTCAATTTTGACATGAAGAATAGGTATCTGATATTGATAGGCAGTAAGATAGATAGATAATGGATAGTTAGGTAGATAGATGATAGATAGATAGATAGATAGATAGATAGATAGATAGATAGATAGATAGATAGACAGGTGCCATATAAATAGGCCTACAGACAGTCATATAAATGTGGATTAAAACATGTAAAAGAATTCATTAGGTCTTAACATAGGCCACTTTAGATGGTCCTAATTCATAAATGAGATACTGAAGTCTTAATGGGGTAGGATTGAAATTACAGGCACCCATGATAAAAAGAAGATATATGATACCCTATTTGTATAAAATATACATATAAATGAATGCACAAATAAAGTTAACACGTAATTTATTTTATTTATACTCCTATAATATACTTGAAAAAATGGTTAGCAAAATTTACTCATGTCTTTCCCAATGGAATTTTAGGCAAACTAAATATTCTCTTTTATTCTTTATGTTGGTTGAATTAGTTAAGATAATGCTATTCTACTAATAGTTTCTGTAACATTACTTATTGTCGTCTATACACATGAATACACTCATGTGTGTTGGGAAATATATTCTATATGCTATAATTTATATTTTCTATGATGATAAGGCCATTTACTAGTGAAAAGGTATGAACAGCCAATGAATGACATAAATGAGAGAAAGTTCTCTGTCTTCATAATCTTTCCATTAGTGCTTCCCCAGCCTCTGTTGGCACAGAGTTACACTGTTAAAACCAGGTGCTCAGGTACAGTGGGTAAAGTATTTGCTGTGTGAGCATGAAGACACAGGTTCAAGTCCCTGGAATCCAGTAAAGCCAGGCACAGCTGCCTAAGGCTGTCATCTAAGCACTCCTAACAGTAATGTGGAGGCTGAGGCAGGGGAACCCCCAGGAGTTCACAGTTCAGGTGCTCCCATATATTCAGCTACAGACTCAAAGCAATGTAACCGGGCAACTGCGAACTGAAGCTTCTGAAGCCATGTAACAAAATAAACTTTTTCTCCTATGGTGATGATCTCAGGCATTTTGTTGCAGCAACAGAAAGCTAATGCCCATGGGTAAAAAGGAAAGCAGTGTACTGTGCCTAGCTGATCTAAGGATACCGACCAGCCTCCTAGGTGCTTAGCCCAAGTCTTCCCATTAGGGAAGTTACAGTGAAAAACACTAAGAGATTGGAGAAAAGAAATTAGCCAGTAACTAAGCAGAGTTTCTCTGGGTCCTTATTGCATGAAATCATTTCATCAGATTCAGACAACTATGCGACCACTGGGTGAGGAGGGGTTCTCGCACCTAGATTTAGAATGGCTCAAAAAGCCAGCAGGGGGAGAACAGAATAGAAGCCTCCATTATGATCAGTTTTATCTCTTAGTGCCCTGTCACTGTCCTTCCCCTCTCGAGGCAGGAAGTGGCTCTAGGCTACGCTGCATGAGCCCAATATAGACTCTGGTTATTTACGCTCACACAAAGCCAGCGTAGGAGGGAGTGGTCTCCTGAGAAGTCAGATGCTCACCTCCATATGTTCTAGCCCCACTCCTTGTCAGCTCATGCATTCATAATTTAGAATTCCTTCAGGCAATCTGGAGGATGTCCCTTAGTACAGACAGTAGGAGTAAGCATCCCCCCAAAGGATATTAATAGAGTTTTGTTATGAATCAAGGAAAGGAATCCATAAAATTTATTCTCGTGCCTACTGCCAGAAAGTCTCTCTATTAATATGCAAACGCTAAAAGCTCTATTTCTAACATTCCACTAAACTAAACTGCAAAGTTTAGTGCAGAATAATCGCTTGTACATTAATTTGATCTGTTTCTGGTATCACGTTGTTCTTTTTAATTGATCCTGAAAAATAGCCCAGGAAGATCCATCTCTTCTCCCATCGGTTCTGCCATTACCTTGATTGTACAACGGTTTCTGTGTGACAGGGAGTCTCATGTGTGCTCAGTGTAGCTACTTCCAGGAGAAACACACTCTGCCCACCAAATCTTGGGAAGTCATACAAGTACACAACAGAAACACACAGGGGGCTGTTGTGAATGCCAGTTTCCTTTCCTGGGGCTGGCTCTGGCCATCTCTTGTCCCACACTTTCCCAGCTGTCACTCTCTCCCCATCACTCAGTCTTTTGCTGTTCTGAATAATCAGTCTTGTCACCCCACATCTCTCCTGCACACAATCCTGGCTTTCCTCTTCTCGTATCATGAGAATAGTCTTGGACAAGAGGTACTTCTAATATCTCCACCAGACCCCTGGTACCTATAACCTGCCTGGGGAAGTCAGAAAAGCTTCCAGCCACATCTCTTTCTAATCAGTTCTCTAAGCTGAAGCTCGGGGACTCTTACCATAATAAAATTCTGATGCCAGTTTAAAGTTCTTCATGGTTCCTATGACCACCAACATGGCTATCAGTGAATGTGTAGTGAATATGGCAGTCTCTCCTTGCATTCCAGACATCACTCCCTGCCTTCTCTCCCACACCTCCATGCTCATCTCTTGTCTTATACATTGTAGTATACTGGTATTTCCTCCACCTAACCATAATTTCATACCTGTGAATACTCCCTCTATCATGTTGTATGTGAGTTCTAAATCTTCAAAATTAATGTTTAGTTTCTTTCTTTCTTTCTTTCTTTCTTTCTTTCTTTCTTTCTTTCTTTCTTTCTTTCTTTCTCCCTTCCTCCCTCCCTTCCTTCCTTCCTAGAGAGTGTCCTCAATTTCCTTTCTAGAAAAGCCCCTGGCTTTCTCTGAGCAGAGCTTGCCCAACTCATTTTGATGGCTCCATGGGGCTTTCCATGAATCTTATTACAACTCACTATAATCAATCTTTAATGTCAGCCTTCCTGGTAACCCACAAACTCTTAAGAGACAGGACTGTCTTGATGTTTTTTAATCCCTAGTTCCCCATATCATATCTTATTAAAGATAGTTGTTTTATGAAGGAACTAATGAGTGAACAAATGAATGAACATTAGAGTGGATCTAAAAGACATTCCTGGGGATTTTTAGTGTCACTTTGGGTATCTAACTACTGGAGCCGAGTAACAACACTGACTTACTTATGAGGAAAGGGGTAAAAGGGAGCATCTCTTCTGTAGTTTGGGGCTCAACCCTATTGGAAAAGTCACTGTTGCTATAACTTACTGATTCTTCCAGAATTCTGAAAAAGCAAACACTAGGATAGGAAAAGGAGGAAGGAGGGTTGAAGATTTTGCCAGATTAAAATCTAAAAGGTTTGCTTTGAAATCATTTTTAAATGAGTATATGAGCAACAAGGAAAGAAACTGTGCCCATCTGGAATACTCAAGTTAGGAAGGATAGGGAACTGGCATCTGAAGGTCATGTTTTCAGAGAAAGAGCCCCATACACTCTGGTGTTTACACTTGGTCCCCAGTTGGTGGCGCTGTTTGGAGAGGTTATGAAATGTTTAGGCCATGGAGGCTAGCTAGAGGAAGGTCACTAGAGATGGACCTTGGATGTTTTTAGCCCCATCCCACTGTCTGCTTGTCTGCTCTGCTTTATGTACATGTCTGAGATGTGATCAGTCAAATCCATGCTCCAGCTTCAAGCTGCCTTGCCATCTCCCAACATTATGGGCTCTAACCCTAAGAACCTGAAGCCAGAACAAAGTCTTTCTTCCTTAAGTTGAATTTGATCAGAGTGTTTTCTCATAACAACAGAAAAGCAACTGACACGGCTGATATGGGATTTTCCGCTGTATGTTGTGAATATGTTTTATTATCATTGGTTAATAAAGAAGCTGTTTCAGCCAATGGCTTAGCAGAGCAAAGTCAGGTGGGAAATCTGAACAGATATAGAGAGAGTAAGCAGAGTCAGGGAGACGCCGTGTAGCTGCCCATGAAGCAAGAGGTAGCAAATCATGATAGAAATGGGTTAATTTAAGATGCAGAAGCTATCTAGAAATATACCTGAGACACTGGCCAAACAGTATTTGTAATTAATATAATTTCTGTGTGATTATTCGTGTCTAGACATCTGAGAACAAAGAACAGACTCCATTTACAAAATGGCACCCAATGTGGGTCTAACCCACATGACCAGTCACACACTTTGGATCCGGGTGATGGTAATCCCACTGGGGGTTAAGAGGAAAGTAGCTGAGAGCATGCCTGCCGCTCAGCATAAAGAGTTTATGTGCTGCACAGTGCTTCCCAGAGTTGAGGTGGTGAGTACCACTCCTACCCAGAAGTCCCAGAACTGATGATAAATGTAGTTCTGCCATATTGAAAGGTCAAGAGAGGTGGAGCCAGCATCCAGGCTGCCACAACCATACTGCTGACCATTTTAAAATGCTCTTTGTCAAAAAATGATTTCAGATATACAATAAGACAAATTCAGACATAAAAATTCTCTAAACAAGACACAGTGTGCTTTAAAATGTATGTAGGCTTGGGACAGAGTGGAAAAAGAGTATAGACAGTTATAAAAAGTAAAGTATTTAAAGGGACAGTAAAAGTAATATAAAAGAGTACAATCATAGATTAAAGGAGTAAAGAAAATAAGCCAAGTAAACATAAAAAAGTACACAGAGAGTCTGGATTATGTTTATTATTGTGTTTTTCTTTGAATTTTTTTGACTGCAAAGAAATATTTGATTCTGAGGACTGCTAAGCTAAACCAACATAAAGGTATATTGACTTCAAAATTTGGGTCTAAGGATATGTTGTTTTAGAAAAGAGATTCTGCTTTTGTTCCCACAGAGAATGGGAACCTGCGGATTCATTCCATGTTATGTGATTTGATGAAAAAAGACACCTCCCCCCGAAAGGACTCCATGAATGCTAAAAATACTTCTCCCAACTTAAAGCAGGAAGCAGTTTGCTTTCGTTTAAAGGGAATTGATTATAAGTGATTAATGATCACAGTCAGTTTCTAAAAAACAAAAAAAGGGAGGTATGATGTAAAAATAAATATATTGGTATAGACTTTGGCCCATTGCTACAAATTTAAGGTCAATTTTGTTACACTGTATATATGTATTTCTGCTCTTGTTTAAAGTATTATGTTTATACAGCTCATTTAAAATATAATATGTAATTAAGAAATACAGATTAATAGGTAGACATATATAATAGTCAAACTATAGTCATGGTAATTAGGTTTTCTAGATACACAGAGATATATTTCAGTTAGATAGATATTCTTCAACACTTCAAAGACCTACGAAATATGGTATTTAAAATGTTTTAAGAACTTAGACTTTTCTCGATAATGAAACATGTCTGCTTCTGGTAGCACCAATTACTTCAGAGACGTAAATGGGCATTAAAGAAACTTGTTGTGTAATTTGCCTTCAATGTGACAAGGCTAGACATTTGGGAAAAAAATGCTCTTGCTATAACCGCTTTATGGTATGCTGTATAAACTGGACATGCTTATACCCACACAAAAGTGACTGCTAAACTTTCCAAAAGACAGAATGCTCCTTCAGGGTTCTTGCTTCACAGAAGAAACTTCCAGACATTCTGCAGGACACAGAAGAAAGCAATTGATGAACTTTGCCATTACAATGCAAAACAGATCTTCAAATTTCCTGCTTCATGAAAAAGTCTACCAGATACTATGGGTCTTTAGGTTGAAGGTGGATGTTCCAATGATACAGAAGAACTTTATGTGTTTGTCCAGGCAGCAAGATATCTCTGTCATTTCTAGAGTTTTGGAAGTTGCTTACAATGTACTTCCTGTTCAATTAGGTAATATTATATCCTTCTGGGGTCTTTGAAGAGCTGAAGACAGATAAAGTTTTCCTTAGTTATGCTAAAAGATAAATTAGATATGAAACTTTAGACTCACAAAGGTAAAATAGATTATAGTATATTTTCTTTAATTTTGCCAGATACAAATAGACTATATAACTGTAATTATTGCTTGAACCTGTTTTGTTACATGTAATGTTACTATGCTAAAATTAAAACCTTCCTTTTTATTTAGCCAGAAAAGAGAGATGATGTGGAATTCTCCTCTGTATGTTGTGAATATGTTTTATTACCATGGTTTGATAAAGAAGCTGTTTTGGCCAATGGCTTAGCAGAGTAAAGCCAGGCAGGAAATCTTAACAGAGATAAATAGAGAGAATAGGTGGAATCAGGGAGATACCATGTAACTGCTAAAGGAGGCAGACACCATGCAGTTGCCTAAGAAGCAAAAGGTAACAAACCACAAGCCTTGTGGTAGAATATATAATAAAAGAAATGGGTTAATTTAAGATGTAAGAGCTAGCTAGAAATATGCCTGAGACATCGACCAAACAGTATTGTAATTTGTATAGTTTCTGTGTGATTATTCGGGTCTGGGTGGCTGGGAACGCAAAGCAGTCTCCCTTTATGGGTCTGTAAGCTGAAGTTGGATGCCCCAATGTTACAAAAGAACTTTGGGTGACTGTCCAGGCAACAAGATGTCTCTGTCATTTCTAGAGTTTTGAAGGTTGCTTACAATGCACTTCTTGTTTACTTAGGTAATATTATATCCTTCTTGAGTCTTTGAAGAGTTGAAGATAGTTACAATTATATTTTTTCATAGTTATGATTAAAAATAAATTAGATAGAAAACTTTAGACTCACAATGACAGGGTAGATGATAAAGTATTATCCTTAATTTGCCAAATGTAAATGGACTAAATATTGTAACTATAATTCTTGATTAATAACTGTTTTATATATAATTTTACTATGTTAAAATTAAAACCTTCTTTTTATTTAGACAGAAAAGGGGAGATGATGTGGGGTGTCCTTCTGTATATATGTTGAGTTTATTGGTTGATGAATAAAACTATTTCGGCCAATGACTTAGCAGAGTAAAGCCAGGTAGGAAATCAGAACAGAGATAAATAGATAAAGTAGGCCCAGTCAGAAAGATGCCATGTACCTATGGAAGAAGACAGTTGCCAGAACCTTACCCTGTAAGCCACAGCCTCGTGGTGATACATAAAATAATAGAAATGGGTTATTTTAAGAATTAAGAGCTAGTTAATAAGAAGGCTGAGCTAGCAGGCTGAACAATGTTGTAATTAATATAGTTTCTGTGTGATTATTTGGGTCTGAGCTGTTGGGAAATGAACAGTCACCTTCTACAAAAAGTTTTGTAAGCAATGCTGTGAGGGAGTGTATTATTGGTCAGCAGACAGGATTCTAGCCATGAAGAGAGGAACTCTAGAGTTATAGCAAGGTGTTCATAACTGGTGTTCTGTTTTCTACCACAACGAAGAAGAAATAAGAATTTTGTGGGTGACATTGGAGAATTAGAAAGCCTGTAAGTTGTTTTACAACTTAGCAAATGCAGAAGAAGCTTTTTCATGGTCCCAGTGAATTTTTTTAATTCTAATAAGTTAGAGAAGAAAACAGGTTCCTAGCACCATGCTTCAGATCCCCCAGATGCTATATTTTCAATAACCCAGTGCATTTCCATGAACAGAAAGAAAGAGTCATCCAAGATTGAACTGGAAGTTCTTTGTGTATTAGTAATTCAATGACAGTCTGACCTCTGCTATTTTTGTTTTCAAGGTATGCATTGATCAGCCAACCACAAAGACCACTCGCACATCAGACCCTGGAGAAAGAAGCCTTCCTCAGCACTATCTGCCTTTTGCTGAGAGCCTTTTGCTGAGAGATGATTACTTATACAGTATCTTGTGGCCTGTAAACACTCTGTTCCAGATAGTGTGTTAGAGCCTTGAGTCAAATCAAATGTTCAGTGAATGGTTTCTCAGCAAAACCTGCAAGGAATAGTCATAAATTTTGCTATTTGATTTCTTATGGTAAATACCAATGGAGTCATTAAAGACTGTGTCTTATGTGAAGTTTCATGTGTGATATTTAAAAAAAAAAAAACAGGCCTAGGGAAGTTTTGGCTACTCTAAAAAATAATTGTGTGTGTTCTCTCCTTTCTTTTTTTTTCTATAGTTTGTATTTTTTAATTTATTTATTTATTAAAGATTTCTGTCTTCCCCACCACTGCCTCCCATTTCCCTCCCCCTCCCCCAATAAAGTCCCCCTCCCTCGTCAGCCCAAAGAGCAATCAGGGTTTCCTGCCCTGTGGGAAGTCCAAGGACGACCCACCTCCATCCAGGTCTAGTAAGGTGAGCATCCAAACTGCCTAGGCTCCCACAAAGCCAGTATGTACAGTTGGATCAAAAACCCTTTGCCATTGTTCTTGAGTTTTCAGTAGTCCTCATTGTCTGCTATGTTCAGCGAGTCCGGTTTTATCCCAGGCTTTTTCAGACCCAGGCCAGTTGGCCTTGGTGAGTTCCCGATAGAACATCCCCATTGTCTCAGTGTGTGGGTGCACCCCTCACGGTCCTAAGTTCCTTGCTTGTGCTCTCTCTCCTTCGCACCTGTCAGAATGGCTAAAATCAAAAACACCAATGATAGCCTTTGCTGGAGAGGTTGTGGAGAAAGGGGTACACTCATCCATTGCTGGTGGGAATGCAAACTTGTGCAACCACTTTGGAAAGCAGTGTGGCGGTTTCTCAGGAAATTTGGGATCAACCTACCCCTGGACCCAGCAATACCACTCTTGGGAATATACCCAAGAGATGCCCTATCATACAACAAAAGTATATGCTCAACTATGTTCATAGTAGCATTGTTTGTAATAGCCAGAACCTGGAAACAACCTAGATGCCTTTCAATGGAAGAATGAATGAAGAAAGTGTGGAATATATAATTATTAGAGTACTACTCAGCAGTAAAAAACAAGGACTTCTTGAATTTTGCATGCAAATGGATGGAAATAGAAAATACTATCCTGAGTGAGGTAAGCCAGACCCAAAAAGAGGAACATGGGATGTACTCACTCATATTTGGTTTCTAGCCATAAATAAAGGACATTGAGCCTATAATTAGTGATCCTAGAGAAGCTAAATAAGAAGGAGAACCCAAAGAAAAACATATAGGCATCCTCCTGAATATTAACCTTCATCAGGCAATGAAAGGAGACAGAGACAGAGACCCACATTGGAGCACCGGACAGAAATCTCAATGTTCTCTCCTTTCTAATCAGGTCAAACAGAATTACTTGCCAGAAGCCTGCTGACTTCTCTATATTCACTTATCCCTGCTCACAGTGCAAGCTCTAGCTGGCCATTACTAGTTAAAATCTCCATTCTAGACCTTGCTTGATTTTTCTGATTGTAGAAGTCAAATATCTTCAGTCCTTCTTAGCATTACTTCTAATTTTGTTACACCTGAGTCTTTTTGATAATAAATTCTCTTTTATTCATTTATATAAAAAATTGTCCTGGGAGGCCACTGCATGCCAGGTTAAGAATCTGCAGAGTTACTATAATGTACTGCCTGAGGCACACCAACTGTATGAAGAAAGGCAGCTTGCAATTCTGGAGATTCAAGGCAAGGCACCTCCATTCCTCAGCTCTGAAGAGGCCCTCACAGGAGATGGTGTCACAAGAGTGGAAACATGCGGGGGAAGGGGGAGAGGGATGAGTTCTGGGAACCGGAAGGATCCCTGAGGAGAGGATATGTCTTAAAGGTTCCACCTCCAAATGTCCCCTCATATAAAAACAAGCTCACAATTCTTTGTGGGACATGCACCTTCTAAACTAGAGTCAAATCATGCCTGGCTAGCTCTTGAGCAAATGCAGAATTTCTATCTCAAAATTCCTGGGCTCTTCTCTGCCTGTCATCCCCTAGAACTGACTCACCTGGGATATCCTGCAGGCATTACCAGACATATGCCCAGTGGGTACATAAACAGCAAGTCATGAAAACTCTTCTCATTTGCAACCCCTTGGAAAAGGATAAATTCTTTCAGAAACTATAGAATTTTTAGGGCATTCTAGTCGCCATGATGTAATCTCTGTGTGTCTTTCTGCCCCCACTGTTCCTTGGTTTCTTTCCTTAATTAATATCAAACTCCTCACTTGCCTGACCACATGACATTTCTGAATCCCTAATGACTTTAGCAACGCTGTTCTCTTTTCCGCTTCCTTTGCCAACTCCTCCATCTGACATTCTCCCACGTGTCATTAGAGCCATGCTTGAAATCCTCTACCTCCGGAATGCCTATTGCCATTGCCCCCAAACAAGCCCTCCTCCTGCACTGAGTGTAACGGTGCAATAGACCCCAGCTTGACTCTTGGATGCAATCTAATCTGAGTTTATCACCTACCTGACTATACCAATTTAGTCACTGTATGATTTTCAAAAATCTGTTTAAACTTTCTGGGTCTGTGTGTCCCAGTGTGAAAAGAGGGCAGTAATACTATCTATCTCATTATATTGTTAGAATGAAATGACATAAAGAATGCTCCACACTTAGAACACTTCCTAGCATGTGACTACTTTTATCAGAGTGATCTTGTGCACCTCGGGTTATAGTTATTTATCCAGGCGCACTCTTTCCCACCAGATTGGCAACTTCTCAGGAATTGGAACCATAGCATAATGCTCCGCATCCAGGAAACACGCAATATGCGCATGTCAAGTTAAACGCCATAATAGAACAAAGAACAAATGACTTCATTACTATCCTGCAATAGAAGGAATTGTTGACTCTGGCTTGTGAGGACAACCTGTGGAGTACAACTGCAGTCACCCTCTTCCACTGCCTTCTTTACCATGTTCTCTCCCTCACAGCTTACTGATTGTACATGAAGTCCTGACTATATGTCAAGCAATGAGCTGTGGAGTAGAGATACCTACATGAGCACTGAAAAGAGACAAGACAACAGCTATCCAGGCAAGTCCAATTCAGTAATATGAATAGGTCATAACGGGACATTACACAAAATACTATGGAAAAAATTTAGGAGAGACAAGTAACTTACATTTCGAGTAGATTAGTGAAATAAAAATAAAACATCTCCCTGAAACAAGAACCACGTGTGTTGGAGATGCACTCTCCCCACTGGACTAATAACTGACCCATCAGTTTTTGACTGCTCTGCTGTCCAGGGACCCCTTACCAACAGTAGTCATCAGGACACTGGGGAACAGCGCTGTGAGCCTTGGGCAACCCTAGGTTCCTTGCAGCATTACTTCCTGAAGAATAATCATTTCTTATAGCTGACAAAGCTAAATATAAATGTGTTAAAGCCATGGGGCGCCTGGGGCAATACAAACTAGCTCCTCCTTGACCCCTTAGTAGCCACTGCAATGACTTGCCACGTAAGCACACTCCTGAACGTAGGATTCAGGTTGTCTCTAACACTTGTTAAATTGTGCACCATAGGTGATGGTGGTGATGACCTGAAAAGCCCTGGTTCCAACTCTCGTAGCCTGTACTTTACACACACAGCATTCTCTTTGGTTTGTTTGGAGACAGGGTTTCTCTGTGTCATCTTGGCTGTCCTGGAACTCGTTCTGTAGACCAGACTGGCCTCCAACTCCCAGAGAGCCACCTGCTTCTGCCTCCTAAATGGTAGGATTCAAGGTGTGCACCACCACCACCACCCAGTTTATAGCATTCTTAGTCAGTCTCTTTATTCTTTCATTAGTAAAACACTTGTTGGCCATATAGTGAGGCAATTATTACTAGCCCAGAGGTTAGCAAATCTTGAATGTTTAAGTCCTTTATTCATTTTCTTCATTACTGCACTGGGGGAGGATATTATATAGTAAGGTAATATGGGGGCAGTACTAATACACTGAAGAAGGCAACAGTCAACTGACTCCCCCATCCGTTTTAGGCAGCTTCTGCCCATACCAAGTCACTGCACACATTCCAAGGAGTACACCAGAGGCTCCTTGTTTTATCTCAACTCTCAAGGAGTTCTTTTGAGTTCATACTTTTTCCTTCCTGTATGAAATGTAATGTTTTGTCCCTCCTGTCATCCATATTATGTGGTTCTAAATGTTAAACTTGGCTTTCCTGGTAAAGTTTGAGGGCTTCGGATGCTGACCGAATTGGCAGTGGATTATGGCTGCACCACGAGCCATGCTGTAACACACCATGGGGTGTGTTACCCTCAGCAAGCTCCTTGGGAGCTCAGGGGCTAGTTCCCTGGTCGGAGTAGAATTGTTGTAAGATTGCACGTCGCAGCTAGGAATGCAGGCCAGGTGGTAGGGTGCCTGCCCAGCATGCAGGGATTCCCAGGCTGCATCCCCGGCCTCACACCAACTGGGTCTGCCCACACACCTGTAATCTCAGCATCTGGCAACAGAAGCAAGAGCATCATATATTAAAGATCATCTCTATATAATGATTTCAAGGCCAGTCTGGACTCCACAAGATCCTGTCTTATAAAACTAAAAATAGAGAAGACTGCCTGCATTTATTAAAAAAAAAAAAAAGCTTTCATTACTCTAATAACTAAACATTGTTCCCAGAAGGGACATGGGGATAAATATCCTAGCACTATTGTTACCTGCTCCATTTCTATCTCCCAGGTACAAAGATAAAGGCCTGTTTTCTTCCAAAGCCCAGCAGTGAGATGTTATTAGCGCCAGGCCTCTAGCCTTCAAAGCCCTCGAAGCATACGGTTAACAAGCCCCAAGTGACTGTTCCCCCGAAGCAGACGGCAGCCCGTGCTGCACTCTGCAGTAGCTGTGAAGGTACCTCTCTCTGCCTCTGAGTCCCGCAGAGCCGGTGGCTGACATGAAGGCCATGGCTAAGATGAAGGACGTGGTGCGCCGCGTACCTTTTTAGTTTCCAAATGAATGAAAAGGGCACACTGAAAACCAGCCTTGCCCTGGCATCTGGCTGGAAAACAATAATGACTCACAGGAAAGACAGACTGAGTAAGCACCAACGGAAGGCCGCCCATCTTTTCATTACCATCACTTGGGGAATGTTGTCTCCAGATGGAATGAGTAGAAAAATATGCATAGAAAAAGTTCCCAGGCTGTTGAGGAAAGTCTAATTTCCATCAGATCTCCTAACATAAATTAGCCACTCTATGTGCTGGGAGAGAGTGCAGAAAGACTGTGGAGATACTAGAAATTGCTGTGTGGCTTACAGCTTCATCACAGCCAACATTGCAGATGAATTGGAAGATGACTATTAGATGCAGTAGATATGAGTTATTACAGTCTATATTCTGGTTTACAAAGACACTTTATCTGTAGAAAAACATGACAACTACTTTGTCACAGATCTAGACAGAAACTTCAAGAAAATATTTAATGGTAGAGAAAATCTTTCATGCTCTGTTCCTTTTTGTATTATTATTATTATTACTTAGGACTACATAATCTTGGTGTGCCTTAAGTATGAAGGAGTCCTACTACCTTTACTTAAAATCTATTTCTCATTTCAGTGGGTACTAACTGAATATAGTTTAATACATTTGCTATATTAATGAGTATATATTTGTGTAACAAAGGGACACCTTGATTTTTTGAAGCGTGTGTGTTTGTGTGTATGTGTAGGTAGTGTGTATATATATGCACATAGGGGCCACAGGAGGACATCAGATGTCCTGCTCTACAAGTCTCTACCTTATTCCCTTGAGACAGGGTCTCTCAATGAACCTGGAGCTAGGCTGGTGGCCAGTAAGCCCTAGTGATCCTCCTGTCCCTGTTCTCCACAGCACCCTGGGTATAAGCCAGTACGTGGTCATACATGACTTTATATGTGGGTACTGGGATCTGAACTCAGGTTCTTATACATATATAGGAAGTGCTTTTACCCACTTAGCCATCTTTCCTTGATTTTTGATACTGTGTTCAAAGTTTTGAACTAAAACTCTCTTCAGATAATATTCCTCAGTAGAAGGCTGTTGTCACCCATCCTTTAACACTGTGGACACACCCTGAGAGTTACTTTGTTTTCTGTGCACTTCCTGCAATGGCTACAAGGTTAGCAGGTGATCAAGTAAGTCTTCTAAGACTGAGATAGGAAAGACGGACTGGGAAAATTAAGAAGGAATGGGGAACAGAAAGAAGCCACTCATTCTTGGAATTTGGTGTACATTACTCATTTGCTGAGGGTCAAGAACTCGATATTATTGGCAGGAAGCAGAAAGAAACCCACTCCAAGGGCTGCCTACAGAAAATACTCAAAGTAGTGAAACATCAAGTGACCCGATCTCGCTTAAGCCCGAGCATAGGGACCTCTGAGTTTAACATTATTATCAACACCCCTCGCTGATCTTTACCTCTGAATAATATATGATTTCACTTGCAAAAGGAAATTCTTTGAGATAAAACCAACATGTAGACCAAATCATATGGTTATACTTAACCTTTGAACTTTCCTTTGTTTTAAAACTCTGTTTACTCTTTAAACTTGGTTGTAAATTACATCCTTCAGCCAAAGTAGCTTCAAGGTCACAGAAGTGCAGACAGGGCTGTGGTCAGGATGCTTAACATATATCTCTCTTGATGCCCACGCTAGCATGTATTATCTCTCTTCTCACTTCCTTAATAAATCCAACCTTGCTTCATGCTGTCTGGGCCTGAAGTACTTTTGTGCTGTTAGCCAAGATCCCATGGGTTCTTTAGTAGAGCTTCCTGTCACTGTCAGGAGACAGCCAACAGCATGGCCCTGGAGCCCTGTCTACTGCTGGCAAAATCGCCATTGTCTCTGTGTGGTCGGTTGTTGACCAAAACATGATGAAATCAGGATTGCCTTTACTTTCTTAGAGAATTCCTAAGAACTGACTGGAAGAATCTGAGAGCTAAAAGGAAACTGCTTAGGAGTTCTGTGCCAAAATATCTTGTCATTATTCACCAGACTCAAAGAACTCTTACAAATTGTGTGTGCGCGTGCATATGTGTGTGTTTACTATATTTTTTTATGGTCTCTAACCCTGATTACTATATGTGGGAATCATCCTGAGGTAGGGGCCTCCTGGTACTGTAGGTATTAATTACCCAGCTTCTCTTCCAACAAAGGTTTTGGAATGTGGCCTAGACTCTCTTGACTGGAGGCTCTCACCATAGGTTTTAAGCAAGACTCTAATGGCACAGAAAGAAAGGTGATAAATCTCCTCCAGTCTGCCCTGGCAAGAGCAGAAACTGTGTTCTCTTTCCAGAAGCAGTGAGCCCAGGAGTCTAAGTAGCCACCACTGGTGGCAGCATCAAGTTGGAGATGAGACTGTATCTATGCATGTTGGCAGACGATTGCATTTGCCTGGGATCTTCATGCCTTTAGGTGCTGGACATGGTGGATGGCTCCACAGTCTTCAAGCCTGATCCTCTAGCACTCCTAGTGATTATAAAAGATTCATTAATTAATTGTACAAGAGTAAAATCCTGACTCGCTTTAAAATATATCGAATACATTACTGTGTTACAGCTGGAGAAATGAGGCGGTTTCCACTCAAGAGTAAAGAGAGGACAATAGCAACACAACTAAGAGTTGTTGTTGTTGTTGTTGCTTCAGCTTGGGCATTCTCACTTTGAACCTCACTGTGTACTTTCTGAGAAGCAGTGGCTCTGCTCTCATACACAACACACACCAGCACTCAGCTGTTTTCTCTTACCCAGCCTCGTGTCTTCACACTGTCCCGTGGCTTCCAGCCTGTCCCGTGGCTTCCAGCTTGCCCATTCTACATACTTGCCGGTCAGTTCCCGGAGTTTGGCCTGCAGAGTAATCTCTCATAGGCTGACCTTCTCATTCTGTTGGATTTCCCTTTATTTCATTCATTTTCTTTTCTATTCCTTATCCAAGATCCTTACCACAAATTTCTGCTTCTTTAAAAAGGAGACTTACAACTAGTCTGTGCTTGAGGATTGCAGAGAATAAAAGTTAAATGTTGTTATATTCAAGAGAGGTATATGAAGTGATGGATGGGTTCATAGCTCAGAGTAATGTTATATTGTATGCAATACACACATATGTATATACTTTTGCTAGTCATATTTTTGTGATGCTGAAGCTTAAACCCAGGCCTGGGACTTACGCTATGCCACTGAGCTCCTTCCCTATCCATTACTTTCTTTGCAACGGGGTCCTACCATGTAGGCCAGAGTAGTTTGAACTCACTATCTAGCCCAAATTGTCTTTGAACTCATTATTCCGTCTTTGCTTTCATAATTAATTTTTTTTAAAAAAAAGAAGAGTCTTAGGATAGTCCATCTCATCTTACCTCTTTGTAGATAAACTCACAGCAATAAATTGCATACATTTTATCAGAACAGTGTGGACCCTACTTGTCGAAGCTATCCCACATTCTCGGTCGCAGGCAGGAAGGAATTTTCTTTCTTTCTGTACTTTTGAAAGAAGAAAAAATACCTTTGGTGAGAATTGCATCTGTGTCCTATTCCCAGAGAGAAGTGTCCCTTTAAGCAGAATCTTTAAGAGCTTTGGGAATTCATTTGAATAACTCAATTAAAACGGTCTCACCTACTAAGCAAAGAAGCTTATTGATAACCCACATGGTTTGGCTAGTTAAGCACAAATTCTAACTCCTGCGGAATTGTGAACATACCATCTTAGCAGAGAAAAGGCATGCATGAGTTGAGATTCACTAGCTTGCTCAAGCATGCTGCTTATCACAAGCGAAACTAGATTGCTCAGACTCAAAACCAGCCTCCTGACTTCTGGTTTTCCACAACTAACTGTACCTCACAACTGTAATGTTAACCATGGTGCCTGTCATCTATGGACCCCAGAGCCACCAGTGAGGGTTTGTTTGAAGGAGATGGGCAGAGAAGACAGTGTGTAGAGTTTCTGTACTGAAGGTCCCAGTTCTGCAGTGTTCTGCGTTCGGGAAGAATTGGGCACACCTCTCTGGCCTCCAGTGGCTCAACAGGAGCAGGCAACTACAAGGAAGCCAGTCAGCAGCCTGGCACACATAGTTCTGACTCAACAGAGGTGATCTATGTAAACCAGATTCTAGCTCAGTCTTGTTTTTTCTAACAGGAGCTTCTAGTTGACTCAGCCTTTCTGCACATAACGGCTATACATGCTATTTTGATTACTGATTAGGTAGAATAACCTTGTTCGATTTTTTCTTTCACCCTTTTGTGTAAACACGTTCCAACATGAAAAAAAATAACACATTTGGAAGTTCCCCGCCTACTTTAACATCTGACAGCTACTGTTCTTCTAGTAACATTTGTTCCTTGGACTCCATGACCCCAATGCGATCTTGCTATTTTTTTCTGCTTTTTGTGTTTTCCTTAATCTATATGCTGAAGGACCTTCTGAGTATTTTGCAAAAATCACCTTAAGGCCCACAGCAAACTTACAAGATAAACACTACTTGTATAGCCACGTGACTGAGGAAGAATGCGAGACACAGGGGCAAGGCAAATGTCTGTACAAAGGTGATGGCAGACGAAAAGAGGCCGCAAGTTGCGATATGAAATGTTTCCCCCATGTTCATGTGTTGAAGGCTTTGTCCCCAGTGTAGCAATGTTCTTAGGTGGGATTTTTGTATATGATCAGCTCTTGGGTGTTCTGATTTTATCAGTGCAGAAATCCACTGGCAGATTCTTAAAGTAGTGTATCATGGGGAGTGGTGACTATTTTAGGAGCTGAACATTACTTTGCAGAAGTTGGTCATTTAGGGAGTATCCTTGAAAGGTACCTTGGAACGCCATCCTCTTTCTTCTCCCTGGCTTTCCTTTCTGGTTATCGTGAATTGGGCGGCTTTTCTCTGTTACATGCTGCTGCTTCTTCTGCTTGCTCTTCTGATCTTCTGTTCTTCGGACGCGAAAGGATGCAACACACAACAAAACCCACGTGGAGCGTGAGCTTTATTGCACCGTGCGGGAGCGAAGGGGAAAAGAGAATGAACAGACGGCTTTCCGGCCTTTTAAAGGGTTCCCCACGCACGTGCGTCAGAAGCCACGTTCTGCGCCTGCGCAGCCTTTGCGTGGACCGCTAGGGGCTCCTGGGAAATGTAGGTCCCCAGGCGAGCTACGCTCAGGGGCCTTCTGGGGAATAACACATGCTTCTTATGTGATTTTTTTTTGTTTTGTTTTGTCATAGGCCTAAAAAGCAATGGAACCAGTCAGCCATGGACTGAACGTATGAAGCACAGTAAATCCTTACCGTGAGAGCATTGGGTGCTGTGTCACAACAGCAGAAAGCTGAATAACGCCATGTATCATGGAGATAATCTGACGGCTGACACTGTAAAGAACCAAGCACGCTGCCTATGCACTGCAGTGAACTGTTTAATCTCCAGCCAGACATTCTAGATGCCCGTCAAGTTCAACCTCTAAAACTGAACTGATTATTTTTTTCAAACATGCCTGCTCTTCCTCTTTATATTTTTTCAAAGGATATCGCCATCACTATTATTAAATGCCTGGTACTTTATTTACCAAAAGGGGAGAAACACAATAGCCAAGATCCTTCCAGGTGCTAAATTGGTTTTCTCTGACTTATTCATTACTAAACTTCCCATGCCCTCTTTTAAACATAAGCTACTCGGTGGCCAAGGTTGTCTGTCATCAGGTCTAACATTTACTGAGCATTTTTCCAAAAGTCTAGGTCTGTCCTAAGCGCTGTATGTGTGTCATCCTATGCTGTACTCCTAGCGTGCACGTGCGCCTGTGAGCCACGGAGGTTCCAAACAGATTTACATTCTTGCTTTGTTGTGTCACTTGGGTGAGCACATTCCTCTCTTCTGTGGGTTAATTATCACACGGGACTCTGTGAGCTTAGAAGAGGGGATCTAACACATCTAGATGAGCCCAACAAGAGCAGAATGAAATGCTGTGGTACATCCTGCCTCATGAAGTTGTTATAGGTCAAGAGATCAGCCTGTCTACATTAACTAGGGTCCAGAAACTGTCAGATGCCAGTACAGTTTACCAAGAACATAAAAGGCATTTAAACTAAACAGCCTGCAAGGGCCAAACAGGTGGGATAAAGAGCGAAGGCTGGGTCGAGATAAGGCAAGAGAAAGATACGAAGTCCAAGGCAAACAGAAGAAAACACGACCCACTTAGGGCAGACAGCCCATACTTGGATGGAGAGCCTTCCCTCCTGATCCATGCCCCTGACCATGTGGCCATGCTTCTCTTTGAGTTCTCTCTCTCTCTCTCTCTCTCTCTCTCTCTCTCTCTCTCTCTCTCTCTCTCTCTCTCTCTCTCTCTCTCTCCTTCCCTCCCCCCCCCCCAAGCTCCTCACTATAATATGCTGCTTCTTACAAAGGATCCTTAACAACTCTCCACTCTCTGGAGAGTCTCTTTCACTTGCCCTTTGCTTCAGCTCGGTGTCACGTGTGTGGCTAGATCTGTAACATCACTGTAGCTCAAGGAGGATTAGGAAGAGATGTTGTCTCACCACCAGCCACAAACCAGCCTCCAAACCTGGTAGTGCTCTGCTTTGTTTCTCCAGAGGACTAGCTGTCTTATGGAATTCCTTTTGTTCATTTGCTCTCTGGTATATCCTGTCTGCTTTTTCAGTAGAGGTGAGCCTGAGTTTGACCCTTAGGATCCTTGTAAAAAATCCTGGGAGTGGCGGTGAATGCCTGTAATTCCAGTGCCCGGGAGGTGGAGATAGGAGGATCCCTGGGGCTTGCCAGACAGCCAGTCTAGCTTCCTTAGTGAGTTCTACATTACCCTCTGGCATGTATGTGGTAGAAGAATGCACATGCATGTGCAAGCGTGTGTGCACAACACACACACAATAATGGTTACAAAATATTCTTTTGAGGAGTAGGCAGTAGAGGAACAAAAACAAAGAGACTGATCTGAAGAAGTAAGGTAGGGACGGACTCCTAAGGAACTTACAACACCAAAACCCAAGGATAGGTCACCTTGCAAGCTGAGACCTGCTCAGACAGCCTACTGCTTGCTCAGGGGGAGGAGCAGCTGACACCTGGCTAACCCAAGGCTTATCACAGCCCTTTGTCTCACTCCTGCTCCCTGCTTTGCCTCCTTCTTGTGCCCATGGGAGACTTTGCTGAAGACAGTGCCTGTGGCTATACATCTGTCTGGGTTTCCTATGATGTGTCCTAATCGTCATATCATGCCTGTTGTCTTTCTACCATAGCCAGAGATGGGCGTTCCTTCATTTTCACCTATGGATGAACAAACTTCCATCCGCATAAACTTTCCATTCATCTTTATCAATAAAGAATCTACTATTTGTATATCCTGATCTTCCTATTCCAGAGCTCTCAAATCATGGTCGTATCATGACCCTATAGTTTTCTTATTATGCTAAGAGGACTGAACGTGACCAGAATGTACACAAAGAGAGGAGATATATAATATATATGATATTCTAAATAGGGTGCTATATAGGACGGCTTCTTTAATCAGGTGATATTTGAACAAAAATGTAAAGAATATCAGGGAGAAAACCAGAGAGAGAAATATCAGGATTGTGCAGGCCAGCATGACTGGCAGAAAGTGAGCAGAGAATGACAGGAGACGAGTTGTCAGACAGACGGTAGCTGCTTTCTTCCACTTAGAAACTCTCCTCAGGAGCTGGTGACGGATGTAAAGAGTGCTTGGCACACAGTTGCGGCCCACAAATATTTATGGACTAAATGAATCCCCATTGTAAACAGGTTATTTTGAAAACAGTCCTGAGGATCCCAGATCCAGCAACTTGGGCACTTGATCTTTATAATCAAGTGTTTCCTCTAGGTTTCTTTTTCAGTTGTGTCTCATATTTCAAGACTGTAGTTTAGGATATGGACTTTTTAAAATTTCATGATTCTGAGCCCAGTACTGAGGCTCAAGACTTGCTTGCTTGAGTTAAAGGTGGTAGTGAAATACAGGTATAAGTGATTGGTTACCTGTGTGAAGGGATTAGACATGATTTCCATTTTTGAAACAGCATGACTGTAAATTTTCCTACAAGCAGCATGTATCCATTGTAACTTAAAATAACATTAGGATGCTTAATGTTCCCAGATTTTAAAGGAAATAAGAGCCTCCCCTACCAACTCTTACTCCAGTTCCACACGGCTAAGCTATGTGTACTCAGTTTCACTACAGAGGGTCTCAGAAAACGCCAGCTCTTGCTTTTGAACACGAAGAACCAAGCACTAAGGAAACAGAAGTGGCTGTAAAGACCTTCTCCGAATGTGAAAAGCGCATGTGCCTTTGCAAGCGTGTTTTGGGGAATCACACCACTTCAGCAGCCCAAGTTTCTTCGAACATCTTTGCCAGTGTTTATTTGTAAATTGTAGCTATCTAAACTAGGAGCAATGGTTCCTGAATCCCTCTAGGAAGATGTCTCAGTAGACAAGATATTCACCCCCAAGCATAATGTACTGAGTGTAGATTCCCCCATCACCCCGACAAAAAGCTGGGCATGGCAGCATGTACATTTAATTCCAGCTCTGAGAAGGAAGGCAGAAGAAAAACATAAGAGGATCCCTGAAGGAGATGGAGAAATATCTAATCTTCTCAGCTCCACTTGCAAGGGAGCATGGGTGCATGGCGCAGGCACATGAGTGCACGCATATGCGTGCACACACACACATATGCACTATCACAGACACACAGGAACAAATACACACCCCAACACAAAGATATTCTGAGGCTAATCCAGGAGACCTAGACTTTCTCAGGAAATCTGTATATAAGAATCAAAAGCTAAAGGAAGGTGCATGATGGCTGAAGAGCTAGAGAAGCAATTCAGGGGGCCACCAAAAAAGAATTCAGATAAAGAGACCAAAATGATGGACCAGACACAGAAGTCAGGGAGTGGCCCTATTGGTACCCTTAACTCTGGGTGCTTCAGAATAGAAAAGGCAGAATAAAAAGGTCTTCCAGAGTCAACTGCACCCAATCCCTGAGGTTGACAAAGACCATTAAATCCCCAAGATGCCTCCAACATTTTATCCCTTTATAAGGCTTTAGTCATTTCCAACTTAACACTGTGGCTCTTGCTTACTAAAGATAAACTTGACATCTCCTGCCTGGAGCCCTCACTTCTGCTTCCTATATAGTTTTCCATATTGAGAAGGTGTCTCACTAAGTAGCCCATCCGGCCTTGACCGCCTCAATCCTGCCTCCTCAATTTCCTGAACTCTGGCCTTGCAGATGTAAATCACTTTACCTGGCTTTTAGACAGTCCTCCCCCAGGTAGCTTCTGGAATTTCAGTGTTCAGATAGAAATAACTGGCAGTGTGAATTTTCCACTGACTTCTACTCAGAGTCAACCGTGGGTGCTCGGAGCTATCTAGATCGATTGCTTCCCCTCAACTATCTGACATTAGCCACTAAGCTTACTCATCTTCCCACTCTCAATCTAGACCCTCCGTCAGGGTGACTGGATCCACCCCCACTACTGCAGTCTCTGTCCCACGGTGACTCAGCAGCCAGTATGCCCTGCTGATAATCCTGCACTTCCCATCATTGCGGCCCTTCTTACAAAGCCGACTTCTCCTTTCTTCTTGCAGGCTTTGTTGCTTGTTTAGAAGGCAGAGTTTCATTTCATTTCTTTGCTGGCCATTTGGCAACCTTTTAGTCTTTCTTTCCTGCTCCTCCTACTCTTTTTCTTCTTCTTTCTTTCTCATGCCTGTACTACTCCGAGATCTTAGTCTTTAGTTCCTTCCCTTATTTCCCCATGCTTGAATATTTTTTTGATTTCCCATTCGCTTTGGGATTTGAATTTTACCTTGGTCGCTCTTTCAAAGGCCGTGAGTCCTAGCTCCCATGGACATGCCTTCACTGCCTTCCAACAGATCAAAGAGAAAGAAATAGCCACAGATAGGAATGTTGGGGTGTTCCAATTATCTAGAGCCACCTTGAGTGTCACATCCTTGCCATGACAAAAGACTTAAAGATCTTTTGGGGAGCAAGACAGAACCTCTGCCTTCATGGAACTGAATTCTGTGGTACAGAAATACCACAGAATAAGCCAATAGAATTCTGCGTGATGGGCATTATTAAAAACCTATAATTGACCTACCATGAGAC